ACTATTTCTAGGTAGTGACACCAGCAATGGTCCTGAATCTTAGTTTCTTTAAATATAATCCTATCAATTTGTGCATTTGTCATTAAACATTGTTTTATAAAAAATAGCAAGTTAAATAACCCCAACAGCTGGAAGAGAAAAAGATATTATTAATCACCAGTGAAAGCATAACTCTCCCATGTAGTATTCTCACCCTATTTTCTACGTTGATGCTAATTATATCGTCTGCCTTTCAGAATTATGATTGCTGCATGACTAACACAATAGGTCATAGCTACATCTTTGCCACTTTTCAGCCATTCTTCTGTAAAACCAGTTTGCTTTAGATAGAGTAGATAAGAGACCCACAATTTGATGCATTTATCATAGTATTTTTTTGAGATTATTCTTGTACCACACATCGTAGTTGACTTCTGTGATATACTTCATTGCACTGCACAGAAACAGGGATTTATTGGCAATAGTATTCTATTTGGGCCACCAATGTGTACATGACTTGGTCTCCAAAGTTATGAACTAAGTATTGGAATACACACAAATGCATACATTCACACACAAGAAAGGTATCCTAGTTCTCAAGGGCTTAATTATTCACAAAAACTGAATTGTTTACCATTCAGTTGTCTACTTCTTCCACCTTTGTGTTGAACCACTACTATTACACACATCTTGTTTCTCTTTGCTAGGAGTCACTGTCTTTTTCATCTGTCCATTCTCTCTCAGGCTCTTTTTCTTGCTCTCTTATCTCCTGCCTCTTGTTCATTTTCTCTTGATTAATCCTTCAAAAGACTTTTCTTTCTTAGAGACTACTAGTCTTTAACTTCTGCATTCCAGTCAAATAATTTTGCTTGAAATCATTGGTATTGGGCTTTCTAAGTTTCATGTGTTCTTCCGGTTGGTGCCTCAAAAGTTCCTTCTTCACTACCATTGTTGGTAAATTCTAAATTCTGAAATATTCTGAATGCCAGAGTGTTCTCTAGAACGCTCATCAACACACCATCAGGGTCTTAATGGTTTTTTAACATACACCTGTATCTACAAATCTTTTCTCAAGTATTCAATGTTCCATGCTTAGAGTTTAAATTAGTTCTAATATCTACAGCTATTTAATTCTGTGACGGAAAGACGATCTACCTAACCTAGCCTCTCTATATAAATTGCAACATTCACTGCCATTAAAGTTGACAGCAAGCTAATGGATTCCAAAGAGATCCATTTGCTATGTATATACAGAATACTGTGGGTGTCTTTTCTTTAAACAAAAATGTGATCTAAACCTCAAATTATGCCCCATATACTTATTTATTATTAACTAGAGGCCCAATGCACGAAATTCATGAAAGAGGCTCTGCCCCCCACTACCCCCCCTGCCACTGCTGTGGCTGCCTCTGCCTTGGCCCCTGCCTGCCACTGCAGCTGCCTCTGCCTTGGCCCCCACCACCCCAGCTTTGTCCGGAAGGTCATCTGAAAGGACGTCCAGAAGGATGTCCAGTCTAATTAGCATATTACGCTTTTATTATTATAGATTTCTTGACATGGTTCTGGTTTAATTGTTTCTGGTCTATACAACAGATATATTGTACAAGTATAAAGTGTAGAAGATTAAGGGAAGTATACAGAATACAGAAAGCTAATTTTAAAATTGATGCTAAAATAAAAACCATTCATCTGGAAATTCAGAAATTTAAAAATTCAAAAGAAATATGCACAATCTAAATTTAGGATTATAAACTATAATGAACTGATTAATAAAAATAAATTTATTCTATTATTTTTATTCTAGGTATAAAGCACTCCTAAATTTTAAATTTTATGTCTAGGATGAGTGAACACACTCGACACAGTCAAAAAATAAGTCAAGTATGTTACTGAATCAGAGCAGTCTTGGAATTAAATTTAGGGAAATTTTAGAAACAATAAACAAAACTCAGATTTGTGACCACCATTGTAATTCAATCAAATATTCAATAGAAATAATCACATAGTGAAATCTTATACTCTATTCATTCATCCAATAAATATTTGGTTCTTACTTTGTGTAAGGCATTCCAGGGGATACAATGAGAAATATGCATGGACTTTGCCCTCATGGGGCTTACAGTCTAGTATGGAAAAAATAAGCAAGCACTTAACATAACATAAGGGAGAAAGTGATGTGTCATAAGAAAGACTCAGGCAATGTGCTACGGAAGTCATTGACACTGGCAGACATTTTTTTTTTTTTACTGTATTATCTAAGTATCCAATAAAAATATAAAGAAAGACCAATGATCACCTTACAAAATTAGGTGCCAAATTTTGTGAATCTAAGGGTGAAAAAGCTGCAATATTAATACAGTTTAAGTCACTACTCACTAGTTCTTAAAAATGTTGGCTCACTGAGCAACGACCTATAAGAAATACAAATTTTCCAGTGTTTATAAGTAGATATAATAGAATAATCTAATATTTAGAAACAAAAAGATCATTTTAATGTAATAAAGGTTCAATTTATTAAAAATACTCATGACACATTACCTTCTCACACAGAAATTGGCTCAATTAGATTAAAGTGGTGAAGAATTCCTCGATGGCTCAAGTGTGCTCCAAGGAAAGCTAGAAGGTTGTACAGTTAACTCCCAGGGTATAACTCTAAACCATACAACCTACTACCTCAACCCGGATGCACACAGCTTCCACTGTCGCTTCAAACTCCTTATCATATCTTCAGTCAGCTCCTCCAAATATGGCGGCCATACACCTAAGGGCTTGGCAAGGATGTAGATATAATAGTCTAACATTTTACCAATTAACTTACTATGTGTCTACTAGGACTATCCTAACCTCTTGGGTTTCCAGCAGAGGTGAAACAAAATGTCCTCTGACATCTCTCCCGGCATAGCTGTACTAGCAATTAATAATATTAAAAGTCAGTAGCATTCAGCTTCCTTTTTCAAGAGAAAAAGGCTTACTAGTAACACATAAATCCAAACATCTTTAATTTTCCTTTTGAAGTTGATGAGGTACACTAACCACTATAATGGGAACTGGCATTTCTGGACAGGCTCTATTCAGATCTTGGTTCATAACTTGCTATAAAAAAATCCAAGTTTCTTAAGCAATTTACTCTACGTGCGTTCAAATTTGAATGGCTTTGCTGCAAACTCTTCCAAGTGGTCAACAATTAAACCTGCCTTGTAAGACAGATGAGGATTAATATAGACATAAAAAAACAAAATATAATTACTTCAAAAGTAATCAACTAGATTTTTACAGGAGTTTGATTGAAATATTAGTTAACAGCATTGTGTATAGGATTTTGTCCCATCACCACACTGACACAGACCCATAGAAGCGAGCTTGTGCGGTCCACTTCACCACAAGATCGGATCTACGGGTTTATGCCAATGGGCAACATCTCATTAGGGTAGGATTTGTTGAAAATATCTGATGAAATTAGTAGATGAAAATAATAATACTGATCCTTTCGTATAAATATGTTAAATGCTGAAATGCTCTAAGTATGCCTATCCCCTTCATAAATATTCTAAACTGAATGAAGATTTTATATACATAAGAATTTAAAAATACTATATTGAAAGATTTTTCACAGATTACTTATGTTTTAATAGTATTTTAGAATTAGACTATTCTAACAAATGATGAGTTTTAAAAGAAAAAATAATCCATACACGCATGTATGAATTATGTAATTGTGAGGCATGAATATAGTGTTATGAGCCTATAATTAAGACAAAATTAACTATTAAGCTAATTGTGTAAGAGTTTGCCTGTGTTTGTTCTAATTCTTATAAAACTTCAGTTAGTGGTTTCAAGGAATTGATAACATATAAATTTCTCATAAATAAGTAAAATTTTGTTGACTAGGCAGAGTACTGAAGGAAGTTATTTAAAAGTCCTAAATATAGCTGGCCTTACTTAGAATAATACTGAAATTAACAATACTTAGATAAGTAAATATTAGAAAACTAAATTAATCACACATTTATAGCATTATTACTACTCCTGTGCGCTAACATTTATACTCCAGATCTATTTCATAAAACAGGATATCATCTTTCTTATACACCATATATTTAAATGTATTTTTCAAAAATAATTTATTTAAAACATAATGTATGACTACGTACATCTCTCATCTTGTCAACAGGTTGGGTTTATTAAAAATATTTAAATCACCAGACCATGATCAAACATACAAGAATAAACATAAAGCCAGCCACATATATGTTTTTTAAGACTCTAAACTCAACAGCAACAAAATTATAACTTGTGCACTCATTAGTTGTTTTACTCATATCCACATATTTAGCATTTTTCAATTATACCTTCATTGTGAAAAATAGCACTACATAAAAATTACTGTATATTTACAGATTTTGAAATAAATAATATAAAATGTGTTTTATAAACTTTACACACAGAATTTGGTCTCCATAATTTTTACCATTATTTGTTTTCAAATTTTTCTAATTAATAAGTTTAAAATATTAACATTCAAGATTCATGCATTGAATTATAGTAAAATATTTCAACATAAGTTCACAAATTCAGATGTGAAATAAATGGTAGCATCTGTTTTGGGTTTATCATAACTATAAAAATGTATATTTTGGTTTCATTGTCTTATTAGATCATATGTTTTTTAAAAAGCGTGACTTTATTCCCTCCTCCCAGATTTCACTTCCTTTTATATGGAACAACAAATTATAAAATACACTTTTTTTTTCCTAAACAACTTCCTATTCAACCATATTTCAGCTATGTTATATGTATGGATATCTAGATATACATTCAAAGTGACTCAAACAGTAAGTTGTTCATAAACTCAGACAAAAATTTTTCAGAGGCGGGTAATATAAATTCTCAAACCATCAATTAAAATCCCAACAGCTAGATTCATAAAGAATATGAAACTAATTCTTATAACTAACACAGTCATAATTAATTTTTAAATCAAAATATTAAATATTAATTTCTTTTTTACTTTTTATTTTTACCTGAGATGATTTTCTCCTATGATCACTTTCTTCACTTCTCATATCCATTTTAAGTTTGTCCCTAAAACAACCACAAAAGGAGAAATATCAGACAACTGCTGTCTAGAAGGAGCATCTGGGTGGATGGTGGGAGTGAAGGTAGACGATCGAGAAGAAAACACAATATCAAAATGGGAAAAACCTTTTAAACTATTTTTTTTAAGGCTTGGAAGACTCACAGAGCCCCACCCAAGGCTACTCATATGACATATAATGTGGTTTCATAGTTTGCATTTATGCATTCATTTTAGTTGGTGTTATTTTCACAGTAACAGTTTTGAAAGTGAAAGGAGGCATGGCTGTTAAGGAAGCGACTAGGTTTTGTACAATGAACTAGTGAAAGCTGAAAAGAGATTTGGATTTGGCATGAGCTTAATAAGATAATTAAGAGTGTGGAGATTAATGGTTTCTAAAAATAACATTTAAAATAATGTTTTTCAACTGAAGGATCTTGAAACATGAAAACAGGTTTATAAATGTTAATTAGGACTGTGAAAGTTGATGTTCCATTAGCTAAGGCAGCATAAAGGAACAAAAGCTATTTAAAAAAATAATTAGGGAACAATAACCCATAAACTTAATAAAACATTTTATTTGAATGTTATCAGTATATAGGATATTTGTAATTCCCCATAATTTTTTGTAGAATAACCAAAAAGAAAGTAGAATTCACCAGTTCTATATTTATTCATTGTTTCCCCTATGTATTTTCAATATAATGAAATATGATTTTAAAAGCACAAGTTTGCTAATGTTTAGTCTTTTCATGGAAAATATGATAGTATCAATTTGTAATATACAGATTATAGGCTTCATTTATACATGCTATAATTTCAAAAGCATTTTCTTTTTTAAACAGTTTTAAACATAATTATGAAGTTTTAATCAAAATTAAAATAGGTAGAATACATCTGTTAATCCTTATCCATTGAATGAAGCAAAACTGGGTTTTACTATAAAATAAATTCCTTAGCTACTTAGTTATACAAACAGACATAATTATTAGAATGCAATGTATTTATCTGCTGAGCCAATACATTACTAGAAACTTAAACAAGTTTATATGTACTTTTTCCACTAAAATACTTAATGGCTATTTCCAATGCACTCTGCAACGGCTCTAAGACAAATGCTTCTTTTAAAGTATATTTTAAAAGACAGTATTATTGTGGAACAAGCTTCTTTTCTACTTAGCAACTGAGAACATAAGCTTTTCAGCCCTATTTTGGTTATACTGAAATCCTGGTAAAATATTTAAATATAAATCCCTCCTAACTAATTTTATTTACCAGCATTTTAATGCATATTCTAATATGACCCCCTTTTTTTTTTAGGAGTCCAAAAAGTTTCTCCTTTCACATTTAAAATTATGAGTCACAAGCACATGAAAGATTTAGTTTCTTTAGCAAATAGGGCTAAACGCTCAGTTTTCTTAGATAGCAAAAACTAATCCTGTACGCAAAAAGCACAGATAACATATGAATGTCTTTCCAAAACTTCTATGTATATCAGAAATAAAAACATGTACCAACTTTTTCATAGAGATTTTTCTATTTTAGTTAATTGCTATTCTAATCAGGATTAGAGCAAGAGAGCAAAAGGAAAAAGTTAATAAGAGTAAAGTGGGTGATGAGTTAAGAGTAAACTGAAAGTTCAAGGATTCCCTCTTAGAGAACAGTAGGCTTAAAAAGAACAACAAAAAAAGTTATACCTGATATGAAAGGTGCGATTTCACCAAGTGCAATACATTGCTAATTAGGCCATATTTTTGAAATAATAAAAGAAAAGAAGGCTCATTTGCTCATGAAGCCTTACAAAGCTGCTTTACAAAGCTCGATGCCTCTGTAGTTATACAAGCCAATGTTTGCTTTTTTTTTTTTTTTAGTTTGTTTTGGTTTGGATTTTTGTTTGTTTTGTTTTTGAGCAGGAAAGTCTCATTTTTTTTTCATCACTGTTGCATGGAGTGGGACACACTCAGGTTTCTTTTTTTGCATTTTTTTCTTCAGGGCTCCTGCTATTTCTTGCAAAAAGGACCAGGGTGCTCGTCTTCTTTTTCTTCCTTCTCGGTATTCCAGGCACAAAGCACTGCGCAGAAGCTGCACCAATCCTTGCCGGCCCTGGCGGCATAGTGGTCGAAGGTGGGAGAGACCAGGAATCCTTCCAGGCTGTGCTGACTTTAGAAATGAGGATTGCACACGTTGGTCTCCTGAACCAAAAGGGTGAGGAGGCAGGGTGCCAGTTTGCTACATTGCTGCAGTGATCTCATGATCACCGCTGCTGTCGTCCTGTTTGCCCAGTTCAAATGCCTGTTCATTATAAACCAAAAAAAAAAAAAAAAAAACCCACAAAGAAAAACAAAAAACAAAAAAAAACTCCTTGGATTCTTCAGCAAGCAGAAATGATACGAACATTAAAAAAAAATCAGCAGTAAGAAAAGGCAAAAAACCGAAATGCACAACACACAATTTTAGGATTCACTTGTTATGCCTCAATATTCTGTTTATATTTTCCCCCCCTTTTTTTCCTTTTCCTATTTAGAGATAAGCAGCAGAATTTATCAGGCGTGAAAGGGACAGCCTCCTGGTGGCCTGCCAAAAACCCAGAATAAAGGCGAAGTTGTGCTTCAAAGCTCAGTCGCTTGCTGAGTCTGGCTAAAGTCAAGTATTAAGATCCACCATTTTCTGAGCCGGGCTAGAAAAGAAGAAAAAAGTCAGGACGGTTGCTGCTCTCCAAGTCTCCGTTGGCACCATCACAAAATCTCAGTCGTAAGGTCACATGATTCTCTGCCAAATGTAGAGTGCGTTCCCATCAACCATTCTGCTGATACTGCGAAGGCAGCTATTGTCTCGTTTAGACCCAAAGTTCAGCCCACTCTTCATTGAATTAGCTGGAAAAAAAACGCATCACCTTTGGGGGCTGGGAGTCATGGAAACGTCTACCTGGCAAGCTGCCCACTTTTTCTGCCCATCAACCAGAGATGGAATTGTGCTGCCTAATGCAATGATGACTTGGAATGTGAAGAGTCGTCCAAAGTGAATCTGATTCTTGCAATGCCTGTTTGCACAGAAAACTCTGGCTTCTTGTAGTTCAGGGGCGGGGAGGGAAGAATCTTTCCTACTAAATGTAGCAAAAAAAAAAAAAAAGGTCTGAACATGCCTACTCTGCAACTTTATTTCACAACACACCCAAATGGCTCTCAAATGAAAAGACTGACCGCCTGCAAGTTTTCTAAGTTTAAGGCACCCTTTCTCTGTTTCCTTTTCCTCACGATTGAACGCAACAAGCAACACGCCCAGGACATTTGTTTTCATTTCTCGCATTAAGATTTAAAAGCTCGGAGAGTCTTCTTGCGTTTTATTACTTTCTGATTTAATCTGGTGCTGATTTTGTCCTACATGGCCACGATATCCACTGGCAGCAGTGGGGACGCATGATTGCTGCCATCTCCCTCCAAGTGGCCCCCCGAGAGAAGAGCCAGTTGTCTCTTAGACCACACAAAACCCTGCGACTGGGTCCCGTGGTAATCTCATCGCCACCTAGCACAGCTGCTGTGCTTGTTTGCTGAGATTGACTCATGGAAGAAGTGCTCTTTCTGTTCCTTCACAAGCTACAGTTTGCCTGTCTTGCATGAAAGATGCCTTTGAAAGATGCAGGGAGTGTATCAACAGCTCTTAGGCAATAAAATGAAACGGTTCCCCCTCCCCAGTGAATTTCCATTCTAGCAGGAGACCAAAGTTCCCATGGACAAACATTTCCATACTTTCTTAACAAAAGTACAGTGAATTAAATCTTTCACCATTTCCTTGAGCAGAATCTAAAGCCAAGCGGAAAAGCAAGTCTTACTAGTATTTAAACCAAACATAGTCAGTAATATCGAAAAGAATCATGTTCTCCTACCTGCATTAAAAAAAAAATGTTTTGATGATGGGAGGGTCTTTATCTAAAGTATAATTTTGTTTGCAAAAAATAAAGTTATATTAAGGGCTTTACAAAATGATGGACTAATGTTACCCCTCTTCCGTGTACACACACACTTTGCATAATGCATGACAAAGATATAAAAAGATAACCAAACCATGACTTGCCTAATAAAAGAAAATCATCCAAAAAATTCAAGGATCTAAGAAACATATCCTAAAAATGGTCTGTGGTCTTTTTTAGTATCATGTTTTTTAAGGTCATTTTCTTTAGAAGCAAAAGGAATGAAATGTGCACACACACACACACACACACACACACACACATACCCCAATACACACAAGAACTACTAGTATTCTGGTGTCTTCCTTATTTGTAATTAAAAAAAAATTCTAAAGCGTAAAACAAAAACTAACATATGTGCGGAAATTAAAATTGCTTTTATCTAGATGGTGAAATTCTGGACAAATTTTGCTCATGTCCTAACATGTGCTTAGAGTGCCTGGTAGGGAATCAAGCATGGTTTGTAGACACATGGGTCCCATGCCTCAGCACAGCAAGAAAAAAGTAGATAATCTCTAATAAAAAGGAAAAATTTTAATTGTTAGCTCTCATTCACTTTTTCAGCAGATATTTATTAAGTAAGTATAATAAGCACAGGGGAACAGTAATGAATCACATGGGCAAGCCCCAAGTGGCAGTCATTCAGGAAGAACTTTCAAGTGAGAAAAATTCACTTCTAAATAAGTATTGCTAGTCCGGAGGGAGCATTTATTGGCGTCAAACTAGCCAAGAAACATACTAGTATAAATTGGAAAGTGGAAGTGAAATGGATATTAAAAAACAAATTAGAGATAGAGATGCATTCTCTGTCTTGTTTTCTCTTTTTAACACAAAATTTACTCATCAGTTTTTCATAACTGCTTAACTTCCTTACAGAACCTAATGTGAAAATTGTATATTATCCTCTCAATTTAAAAAATGAAATAAAAGAGAAAAGAAAAAGAAACAGGAAACGTTCTCTTTCAGGAAGATGGAATAGACTTAGTTTTTCCTAATACTATTGCTAAATACAACTAAAAACAATCCTGGACATAATATAGA